CAAATTCTGTCTCTGCATTAAGTGTGCGTGTATAAGTGTATGTGTGCATATGTGTATGTGAGCGTGTGTGTGTGTGTGAGAGAGAAACAGCAACACACACACAGTTTCAAGGAACTATGTCACTGACTATCACTGTGCAGATTGGAAACAGGTAGCGCTGGGAACTGACTGAAGAAACTGTGGTGAACACACACGGTCAGGCAGAACATGGCAGGGACCCAGAGCACAGCATCTATCTTCAACTTCTTTTAGAAGGCAGAAGAGTGAAAGGAAGTGGGAAGTTGTCCAGGCAAGTGCCACAACCCTTTGACCGCAAAGAAACATCTAATAAAAAACTATGTTAAATCCATCCTCTTAAAACAGCTGTCACTGCTGAGATACAACCGTGCTAAAGACAATCTATTAGTTCTTTGACAGACTACCTAGAGGGAGTCAATAAAACAAGGCCTTCACTTTCCCTCTTAGAGGAAACATCCTGGGAAGTCACTATTTCTCAATGGTTGACCCAGGCCACCTGAGCTGCTGTCCATGGGTCAGCCTATGGCACATTGGAGGGTCCATTTTCCTTTATGGAGATATTAGTTTTTTTCACAGAGCTCATTAACTCTATAAACAAAAATGCTAAACCTTAAGAACTAATTTTCTTAATTTGATAGGTGTCAAGGACAAAATCAGGCTCCCTAAAATTCATGATGGAACCCTAACCCCCAGTATCTGTGAATGTGACTCCATTTGGAGATTATACCTTTGAAGAAAAAATTAAGGTAAAATTTGCTCATAAGGGTGAGTTTTATCCAATGATATTCTTAAGAAGAGATTAGGACACAGTGTGAACAGACCAGGCAGGGAATGGCTCCACAAAGGCACAGCTAGAAGACAGCTATCTGCAGGCCAAGAACAGAGTCCTGAGGAGACATCAACCTTGCTAACACCTTGATCTTGGACTTCCCAGTCTGCAGAACTATGAAAGGATGATTCCTTTTACTTAAGCTACTCAGTCAATAGTATTTTGTTATGACAGCTATAGAAATGAATACAATACATGTTGGTTATTTGCTAACTAGAAATTATATAAAACAATTTTCTTCTTCATTATCAGTATGAAAATTATGGTTTTTAGTAACACTTTTCTCTTTTTTCTTGATCAGTTTTTAAAAATCCTAAAATAGTTACTAATGCCCAACATCATCCTGAGGAATACTCTAGGTTCTTATAGTCTCCCTAGTTTTATTGTTTTGTTTGTATATGTATATATGTGTGATGTGCATCCATGCATGTCAGTGCATGTGTGTGAAAGCATGTGCATGTGTGAATGGTTCTCAATTTTATATATTGAAAGAGGGTCTCTTGCTGAACTCAGAGTTCAGCTCTGGGGTTACAGGTAGGCTGCTATAGTCCGAAGCTTATACATGGGTCCTGAGGATCCAAAGTCTGGTCCCCTGACTTTCTCTTTAGTTTTAACACAGGAACTCATTTGTTTCCCTCCAGTATCTTGGTAGAAATATAAGAATTAGCATATATTTTTAATATTTAAAAAATCTATGTGTATGTGTTTGTGCCTACCTGAGTTTTTGAGCACCACAAGCATGTAGGTGCCTGGAACTGGATATAGGTGGTTGTGAGCTGCCTGATGTAGGTGCTGAGAACCCAGGTCCTCTCTGCAAAAGCAGTAAGCACTCTTAACCACGAAGCCATCTCCCTAGCCCCAGGAATTACTTTTTTTTAAGTCATTTTTTAAGTCAGGAAATAAGATTTATTCAGGGCATGAGACTGAGCTTACAATAGTTTCAACTCTGTGCTGCTCCGTCCACATGCCACTGTTCCCTTCCTTCTCAGCATCCTACTACAGACAGGTGTTTTTGCTTCCCAACATTTACTTCTCTTTTCAGACTTGTCTCTTGTTTCCCCTGCATGATGCTGTCTTGTTTTTCTTGCTTCTTTTAATATTTTGGCATTATGTGACCGTGGGCTTCCTACAAGAAGATACCCTGTACTGTTCTTCACTGGGCCTTCTTCACGACAAATTCCAAGAGAAAACTGTATCTGGCTAAGAGAACCCTCAAGCTATATGGGGTGGTGGTGGAATGTTTTCACCTCTTAGTCCGTTGCCTGCAGCTGTGGATTCTGAACTTAACAGTATGCTGAACACTCATGGAATGCAAAAATAAAGGCCTTTGGGCACCTTTAGATTAACTAGACAGTGGTCTTAGCACTTTCTATTATAGGATCAGCAATTTCTCTCAAGGAATACATATTTCCTCTTCTCTGAAGAGGGAAAAAAGAATCACAATCCTTATGGGCCTAGAAAAGGGTGGCAGACTCTGTATTGTCCTGGGGGAGTTTTGAGACTGTGCTCATGTACTACTGTGGTCCTTTCTCAGGATCTTCTCTAGTGGGATAAAGCCTCTGGGAACACTGAGCCCAGTAGATTCAGGCTGAAACAAAGGCAGAAACTGGCTGCACCCAGCTACAGCCACTGGAAGGTGTCTGGGATTTACAGAGACAAGGGCTGCCTTTATGGGCCACTGTGACAGCTCTCCCCGCTCCAGTTGGGTTAGCAGGATGGTATTCCTCTGTGAATAGTGCTCAGGGAGTCTGGAGACCAATATTGCTCATCTGGTCTGCCACTCATGTCAGTTCAGTGGCCCCTCTGACCAAAATGCAGGGGCAACGATGCCTCCTCACAGAGGAATAGTAAGCGAATTAATTCCAAAGCATGCTGAAGATCACATATACTGGGTTAAAGGTCCACACATATTTTTTTTTTTTTATCCTCTGATACATTAAATGGAATGAATGGATTTTAAAATATTTTGTGGCCACTACATATCACAAACGAGAACAATTAATAACAGCAGATGTTTAAGGTGCTACCTGAGCTGTTCTGTTCATGCAATGCGTCCTTACTTCGCACACAACGGACATCCAACTTTACATGTGAGGGAATCAGTCTTAGAAAGGACAAGAAGCCTGATGTTTACTCATTAAACTGCTGTCAGAATTAGAATAGTAACCCAAGTCAACCTGACTTAAAAACCTATTATTTTAATGAAGCCCCTGTATTATCATAACTGCTTTTCAAAACTTCCCGAAATCATATCCTCTGATTACCTGTCCCATAAACTATTGAAGTACTCACTAAGGTACAAAACCTGGCACCCAGAGTGCATCTCCCAGACTGCTCCTCGTACTGAGAGTAACACAAAAGTCCTCTCTGTAAAACTGTAAGCTTCAATTCTTGGCATAGAAAGTGTGGGCGCCAAACCCTAGGCAGATTACCAAATCGTAGAGAATTAGAGTGCAAAGCAATGCACTCAAAGCTAAAGTTGTTCAGAGTTACACTCGGCAGTGTCTAGAGGCCATCTTTTACGAATCTCAGTCTTCAACATACTATTGAAGTGCAGAAATAAGGGTTTCCAGCAAGTTTAAAGTGATAGAAATCCAGATAAAAGAAATGTAATTATTTAAGCAATGTTTTCTTGAGGAACCACTATGGCCTTTAAAAGGTGGTTCCTAAGCTGCTGTTCTATCTTGTGAATATTTAGGTTTTAATTAAAAGCCTCAGAATGTCTTTTGGCTTTGTTCTTTAGTTTTATCTGTTGGATATCAGCATAAATGGGGCATCAGGCACCCAGGAAAGAAATGACAGATATTCATGTCAAGGCTTTTGACTTTTCAAATGTGGTATGTAGTCTTAGAGATTTAAGAACCACTGATAAGACCTTTTTATTTGGATATTCAAATATCTTTTCACAGAAATAACTGTTCCATTATACAGAGTTGTTTAAATTCAACACATTAAACTCATATAATTTACCCAAATCTTCAAATCAGGCAAGAAGGGATAAGACGCAGCAAAAACCTGAGTATCTCTTTATAGACAGTATTCTTATGAACATTTTTCCTTTTGCGTCTAACATCACTATGCTGTGCTCAGGGCACCTCATGTATGTGCCCAGAGAAGCATTATGATTAGAAACAAACTCTCTGTCTGGTCTATGTGTCTACATCTCTGTGCAAACAGTCTGCTGAAGCAGGTTCTTATCCTGAGTGAGCTGAGGTCAGGTTCTGCGGTGATTTTCATCATCTTGTAGTAAATCTCCAAATGCCAGATCCCCATTCCACCAAACCCTATTTGATCTTTGTCTTTCCTTCATACCTACAGCTTCTCCCCCAGCCCACCTTCCCCTGGAAGAACAGCTTCAGACTTCAGATTTTCCTTTCCTGCCTCTTTAAGTCAGAAACTTGCCCAGGCTCCTAAGAGCCTGCCTAAGCAGGCACCCAGGGCTCCACTGCAGTGGGGTCTGCAAGTGGATGTCCCGAGTCTACCAAAGAGCCCACAATCCAGATGGGTCCCTCATGAACACGGACAGACATGACAGATTAGGAACAATCCATAAACCAATGGGAAGACTTCAAAACCAGACCAATCGATGCTGGCAGTTCCCAAAGGGGAAAATTCTCTAAATCAAGGAAAGCATAAAACCAATGCAAAATCCACTTATCAAACTAACAAAAGCACGGAAATGATTTCAGACTCCAGCGCCTACCTGAAAGATTGCCCAGCTGTCTGGGCTCACACAGGCATCCACCCCTCAGGGTCTCTGGCTCTTCAACAGCTGTGCTTTCTCAAAGTGAGCAACAGTCTCCCCCAGTTGCAGGGCTGGGCTCTGCAAACACACATGCTACACACACAGCCTTGCGGTGCCAGGCAGCCCCTTCGTCCTCATTCCCGGCTCTGCCAGCGCCTGGCTGCCGACCAGCTTCCTCGTGGAGAAGTTGGGGGACGGATCCAACTCACCCTGCGCGAGGTGGCGGAGCATCTCAGGAACAGGGGACCACAGTACCCCCTTTCAAATCTCAGACGCCCTCCCTGAATGGTTTCCCCAGCCTCATTTGGATCCCAGACCTGCTGGCTGACAGATCACCTCCTCCTGGGCGGGACCGCGGTCACGCAGCCCCTGCGGCGAGGTGGTGGCCCCAGGGACACTGTCTCTTACCTTCACGGCGCCCCAGGTCTCAAAAGCGGGGTTGCGGTCTCCAGGGAGTCCTGGATCTGACTCGACGCGGGAGGTCACTGGTTTCGGAAGCAGGGGGCATTTCGAAACGAAACAGAAAGTAGCCGGGGAAACCAAGCCGGACCCTCGACCTGCAATGCACTTGACTGCCCCCAAGCTATGTGTTTTCAGACCTGGCCTGCAGCGCAACTGGGAGGATCCTGAGGAAATGGCCTTAGAGAAGTCTGGAACTCCTGGCCACTGCCTGAACTGCTTTTTTTTTTTAGTATTTAGCGATCTCATCACTTCACTCTATAGCTCCATTATATAATTCAAACTGATTCAAAACCGCATTTCCTCACCGTAAGGCCCCCAATCCCACCCTAGACAGCATCCACTGGCCTGGAGGGCGGGGAGGGCACACTCAAAACAGCAAAGACAATTAGCCTTTCTGGAACCTTCACTTGGGGATGTGCCCTTCTGCAGTGTGCTTTTGTTTCCCTTTGGTTTGAATCTTGGGTACAGGACCTCCTAAGTGCCAGGGCTGGGCAAGCTGGGACGGAATTGCTGTAGCTTCATTGTTGACCTCTTAGGGCTGCCCTCCCTATGCCATTAGCCTCTGAACGGAGTTTTAGATGACAGACAGAACCAAGAGTTGAAAAAAACCTCAGACAGCTTTGTAACACACCTGCAAAATCTAAAATCTACAGTGGGCACTTCTGTTCCCACATATCTAAATTCTGGGAAATGCCAAAAGGGTGGCTGGGCTGGGAGGGTCTTTAGCCAACCCTCTTGATCTCCCTAAACCCTTCCATAGACACTTGTAGAAAAATAATGTCCAAGTAAAAGTGCTTGCTTGCTCTGCAAAGTCAAAGCTTCAGTCGCCCCGCCCCCCATATCATAATCTATAAGGTTAACAGACATATACTGACGCCATCACAGTCTTGGGCAAAGGAAATGAGAATTATTTCAGTCTGTCCCAATTTTCCTGACTTAGCATCTATCTTCTCTTGCCAAGTGATGCTCGTGGAGGGGCCACGGAGAACTGGCAGTGACTAGAGAGGTTCTTTGTGCAACAGAGATGGCAATACAGGAGCACAACACTTAAAGCCTCCTGAGCCACAATGATCAATTTTACGCACTCTAGCCTGGTCATTTGTTCCACACAGCACCAATATGAGTTCCACATGCATTGTGGACTCTGGGTCTGCCAGCCTCCAAGTCAGCCAGGCCTTGCTGTAGGATCTGGAAAGGACTTTTGACAGTTGCCATCTATAAGAGCAGATGTTAACATGGGTCCCTCTTTGTTTTCCCTAGACTGTCTAATATTTCCCTTCACCCCCGCCAGGCATGTCCACCAAAGGAAATGGATCCCGTGAACATATTAAAGAAGATGTCATTAGATGGGTGTGGTGCTTTAAGAATCACTTTTGAAACACTTGATAACTACTTGCACATGCCTCTGAAGTGGGCAAGGGGGCATTGCTGTTTTCCTTATCAGACTCAGAGAAGCCAGTGACACAGGCAGGAGTTAGCAGTCAGGTTTACTTTTCCTGTTCTGACATGCAAAGGATGACCCAGACACGTGAGGAGAATGTCACTGGAATGACAGGTTGCTGTTTGTTTAGGGCTCACCCTCCAGGTGTGGTAAATAACATACAACCTGTTGTGGCAGTTGCCACAGTAACTACTTTCTTTTTATTTACCTATTTTTTTTAATTTTTATTTTATGTGTTTTGCTTGCACATATGTGAACCTGTGCATGTAACGCCCATGTAGGCCAGAAGAAGGCGTCAGATCCCCTGGAACTGGAGTTAAAGACTGTTGTTTGTCACCATGTGGATGCTGAGAACTGAACCCCAGTGGTCAGTGCTCCTAACTGCTGAGTCATCTCTCCAGGTTGGCAACTACTTCCTAAGTGGTCAGCCCTAAACACATGTACATACTAACACCACCAAATAAACTCAGTACGTTGTTTCTAAATCATTTATTATTTATTTGTTTGTTTACATTTATTTATTTATTTGTTTGTATGAGTGTATTGCTTGAATGTATGTAAGTGCACTTGTGTCATGCAATGCCCACAGAGGTCAGAAGAGGGCATCAGATTTCCCTGGAACTAGAGTTATGGAGGGTTGTTAGCCTCTATGTGGGTGCTGGGACTCTAACCCTGAGTCCTCTGCAAGAGCAGTCAGTGCTCTTTACCACTGAGCCATCTCTCCAGCTCTGGTTGTTTCTATATACACACTTGTATATATGGAACAACAATAATTAAGGAAGAGGTGAGGATATTGAGAGAGAGTGGAGGGGAACATGGGAGGAGTTGGAGTGAGGAGAGGGGTGGAAATGATGTAAAGACAGTATTCATGTATGAAACTCTCAAAAATTAGAAATTTAAATTAAAAAGGTAATAATAAAAATAAACAAATAAGGAATTTGTATTCATTTGGTTCTAGCCCCATGGCATAGGTCAAATGGTATTTTCATAAGTAGAACAGAAAATTGTCAAATACATTTGGAATTGAAATCATATTAAAGATTCAGTTTCTTTCATGCTACCAGAGAAGCACGAAGATAAAAAAATAAAGAGTGAGGAGCTGGAGAATAGCTCAGCTGTTAAGAGCACTGACTGCTCTTGCAGAAGACCCAGGTTTGGTTACTAGCACCCACATGGCAGCTAACAATCATTCATAATTCCAGTTCCAGGGGATCTGTCATCCTTTTCTCATCTTGGCAGGCATTGTACATCATGAGTTCATACTCATACATGTAAAATAAAATTAACAAAATTAATAAATCAAATATTAACAAAATAAATCTTGGGTTTATAGAAAGTGCCTTCCTTGGATTGCCAATATTACCGAATTAGAGTGCTCAGTGCTTCAATTGACTCTGTGTCCTGTATAATCTCCCCTCTCTGTCTACTTCCTGAAGCCCCTGAAAGAGTCCATCCGTTCTTATCAAATCTACCCTGTGGCCTTTCTCAAGCCATGGGGTCTTGGCTATAACCCAAGCCATCCTGAGAAGCCACGCCTGGTTTTCTAGTCTCTGCTTTCTAGCCTGCAAATTCATGTTCTGCTGTCTTCACTATGAGTATATGTCAAATTCAGGCATTCAATCATATAAGTTCTCAATGTAAAGACTTGAATAACAGCCTACTGCTTGCTGTGGTATACTGGGCGTTTATAAACTGGCTTCAGGGACTTTTCTACCTCACCTCGTTGCTTCAATTTTCTGATTCCATTTGGTTGATATGCTGTACTATGGCATGATTTTCATGTCTCTGTATCTTTGCATAAAGTCTGATTTCTCTTCCTGGAACATCCCTCCTTATAATGTTTGCTCCTGCGTGACATGGTGATGTATGTTTTTGGCTTTATTCTGACTTTCCAGTAGTTTCTACATAATTTAGTCTATTAGTGCATGAACCAGTAGAAGGACTAACACCCAATGCCATGAGGATGTGGAACAACAAGAAATCTCATTCCCTGATGGTGAGGGGCACATTCAGTACAACCGCTTTGGAAGACAGTTCAGCAGTTTCCAAAACCAGATGTCCTCTTATTAGACCATTCAGAAATCTACTCATTGGGATTCATACGAAGGAGTTGAAAACCTCACACCCAAACAAAAACATGCACACAGCAGCTTTATTCATAACTGCCCAAACTTTGATGTATCAAGATGTCTTTCGATAGGTGAACAGGTAAGACAGCTGTGGCACATTCACACAATAGGATAGGATATTAATCAAATGAGCCATTAAGCGATGGAAAAAACTTGAATTCAT